CCGTCGACGTTTCCACGCCGACGATCCTCGCCCTCGAGGCTTCGCGCGTCTCTCGACACGGACACCCGCAACGTGCCGCGACGACGACGAGAGTCGATCGACGAGCACGCGGACTATCGGCAGTCTCGCTCAGCGGACGGATATATGAGGCGTAACCACGACAACGAGCACCGCGACGACGACGGTGGCTACGACGACGACGGTGGCGGCGGTGGCGGCGGTGGTGGATACGATGACGTGGAACAAGTGCGAGCGGCGGGTCGACAAGGACGACGACGACGACAACGACGACGACGACCGGCGATGATTACGACGACGAGAACGACGACGGGGACGACGACGACGACAACGACGACGGAATCCCCGGGCACTGGGCGACGGCGGACGCGGGCACCGACGAGCTCCGCGAAGATCGAAGACGAAGATGTACCACCTGTAGGCGCAGAAGCAACAATTGTCCGCCGTGTATCGCGGTGGAGGGTAGCCCGACTACATGACTTGTACCGGGTGTGGCTGGGGTGCAACTGCCAATGCAGCGTCGCCGACGAGCGTCGTCCCGCGTCCCGGGCGCCTGCGTCCTCGCCGACGCCGCGCTCGTGTGCAGCGCTCTCTCCCTCTGTCTTTTCGCCCCCCCCCCCCGCGCTATCTCACCCTCCCGCTTATTTCTACGTAGCGTCTCTCCGTCGGCTGCAGCGCGTCCTCCCGCGCCTCCTCGCGTTCTCGCTCTCCCCTTTTCTTACACGCCACCCTCTTCTCCTCCTCCTCTTCCTTCCCGATCGAGGGGATGGTGGATGTTACCCGCGGCCGGTGCCAAGCGGGGGGGTAGGAGGGGCTGGATCGGCGGGGAAACCCCTCGCGACGCCGATCCGGCTCTCGCCCATCGATTTTGTACGAGTTCGAGGCCAGACCAACACCTGTTACCGTCGGTGGGTGGATGAGAAGGAAGGGCGGAAGAGCGTGCAACGGAGTGAGACGGAGAGAAAGGGAACCGGAGGGTTAGGTGGCGAGTTTCCCCGCGACGGAGAGAAAGAGGGAGGGAGAGAGAGAGAGAG